TTTACAGAAGAGGAACGTGAGACCTCAAGAGGCCATCTAATTTGCCCAAAGCCACACAGCTAATGAGTGACAGAGCCAGGACTGGACCCACGCTGCGTCTCCATCCCTTCCCAATGCCAGGAGGGGGGAACGGTGGCACAAACAGGAAGTAAAGCCCCAAGCAGCCAAGATCTCTCTTCCACTGAGTTTTAGGAGACCATCTCATATCGTGTTCTGTGGGACATAGAGCCAAATGAATGGAAGAGGAAAAAGACTTCGTGAAGCAAATCCTGTAAGTGATAAATCAAGTTGTCAGTGAATCTGAGCAGGGAAGGGAAGAACCATCTGCAGCAGGTCTAGGCTCCCAGGAAGCACAGGGCTGATCCCGCCTGGCTCGGCGCGTGCCCGTGGCTTCTGGCTTCCTGGTGCTGGCAGAGCCGCAGTTCATAAACTCCTTTTCTAGAAGCTGTCAGACTCCAGAGGGGTGGCGCAGGAAATGCGGGTCTTAGAATCAGCAGCACGAGCATCAGACACGTTCAGTGGTCTCAGAGAGGCAAGTCCTGGCTTGCACCCCACCCCCATCCCCCGTGACCTCCTGTCATCTGCTGACTTGCCAGAAGGCTGGGCTTCACGGATGCATGAGGAAACTGCCGTGGGAAGGAAACGAAAGGGGCTGTGGGTTTCTAACCCAGTGCCTCCTCCTTCTCCTTGCCCCCTGCTTCACTTTTGTGCTCTTTGCTTTCCTGATGCTGCCACTCTCTGTGGCCTGCACAGGTGAGCTGCTGGGTGCCACAGGTCAGCCGTGTCCGGCCGTGGGACAGCGACGCTTCATCTTTAAACATAAAATGCGTGAGAGGAAGAGGTGGCCAGATGGGTGGTTTCCACAGCATAGTAATTGTAGCACAATTATTTGGTGAATGTTTCATTTATTATTAAAAATGTCTATTTATTCATTTTGAGAGAAAGAGCATATGTACAAGTAGGGGAAGGGCAGAGAGAGAGAGAGAAAGAGAGAGAGAGAGACAGAGAATACCAAGCAGGCTCTGTGCTGTCAGTGCAGAGCCCGACATGAGATCATGACCTAATCAGATGCTTAACTGACTGAGTCACCCAGGGGCCCCTATTTGGTGAATATTTTTTAAAAAGAGTCCTGGGCCCTGCCCTGGGAGATATTGATGCAATGTGTCCAGGGTGGTGGCCCTTCTTTTAAAAATCTGTCACCAGATGGTTCTGGTGCCTGTGGACCAGGTTGGGGGCCCCTGGGCTACAGGTTTCCCAAGGCCACTTCCCACCCTCTGGGTTCCCATGTGGAAGCCGGTCAGGCGCAGTATGAAAAAGGCTATGTAATGTGTAGATGCTCTGTGTATTTCTTTTGTTGAATGCACGAATAAATACTTCCAGAAGTCACATATCTTAAATAACCTCAGTTATGTAGAAGGGTGACATGTTGAGGAAGTGGCAAGCTCCTTGAGTAGCTAAAAATGATGGTTACATGTCAGTGAAATTAAACTCACGTTCTTGAATGTTGCTAATGGGGACCCCTGAGCTCTGTACACACAACCTAGCTGTCCTATTTTATAGAGACCTAGAAAGGCTGGTGTTCTAGTTTCCAAGTTCAGAGCATATTGGAGTAGAAACGAGAAGAGCATAGGAGTTGTTGAATAAAGCCCCAGTGCCCTAATTGCTCGATGGGAATGGGGTTTCCCTTTGGGATGATGACAATATTTTGGAACTAGATAGGGGAGGCAGTTATATGACTTTGTGAATACATTCAATGCCACTGAGACTTCACTTTAAAATGGTTCATTTTAGGGGTGCCTGGGTGGCTCAGTGGGTTAAGCATCCGACTCTTGGTTTTGGCTCAGGTCATTATCTCTTGGTTCATGAGATGGAGCCTCAATAGGGCTCTGTGCTGACAGCGCAGAGCCTACTTGGAATTCTCTCTCTCCTTTCTGCCCCTCCCTTGCTCTCATGTACATTCTCTCTCAAAATAAATTAAAATTTACAAATAAACAAACAAGTAAATAAATGAAATGGTTCATTTTATGTGCATTTCACTCAGTAAAAAAAAAAAAGCAGCAATACTAAAAAACAAAACACCAATACAAAATAGTACTCTTAGATTTGTGACAAGTGAAAGCTGACAGCTTGATGGGAAATAAACGAAAGAAGTAAAACTCTAAAGTTTGTACAGAACTAAAATAGCCAAGAAATCGGGTGCCTGGGTGGCTCAGTCGGTTAACCATCTGACTTCAGCTCAGGTCATGATCTCACAGTTTGTGAGCTTGAGTCCCGCATGTGGTGAGCTTGAACCCTGCTTCGGGTGAGCTCTGCTTCTGTCTCTCTCCTTCTCTCTCTCTCTCTCTGCTCCTCATGGTATTTTCTCTCTCTCTCTCCTCTCTTTCTCTGCCCCTCGTGGGATTCTCTCTCTCTCTCTCTCTCTCTGCCTCTTGTTCACATGTGCCCTCTCTTTCTCTCAAAATAAATAAATAAATAAATAAAATAGCCTAGGAGTCTGGGGCCATTTAGTGGAAGGGCAGACTATTCAACATCTTCAATGGGCCCTGAAGCTGTCATATTACAATGTAGTTCAAAATAAACATTTATTATATGGCTCTGCTCTGTCTAGAAGACTTTCTAAGATGTTAGGTGTACCTGCTTAGGAATCCAGGAGTATCCTTAAAAAAAAAAAAAAAAAAAAAAAAAAAAAAAAAAAAAAAAAAAAAAAAAAAAAGGCCTATGTAAAATCCATCAAGTAAAAGATTTTTATTGAGTTAAAAAAAAAAAAGAGCTTTTGGAGTCTGTGGTTTAGTTATCTGGAAAATGAACTTGGCTGGAATAGTTCATTCACTAACAAGACAGTTTAAATGAAGCAAGAACCTATAAGGCCAATTCCCATAGACATTATCCTAAAATCACTACACTCACCGCAGGAAGAAAGTACTAGGGAATCACTGCCCGTGGTTATGAGTTTCTGTTCGGGGTGTTGAAAAAGTTTTGGAACTAGATAGTGGTGATGGAGGCACAAGATTGCGAATGCAATTAGTGCCACTGAATTGTACACTTAAAACTGGTCACAATGGTAGGGGCGCCTGGGTGGCTCAGTCAGTTAAGTACTGACTTCAGCTCAAGTCATGACCTCACAGTGAGTTTGAGCCCTGCATTGGGCTCTGTGCTGACAGCTCAGAGCCTGGAGCCTGCTTCGGATTCTGTGTCTCCCTTTCTCTCTGCCCTCCCCAGCTCGCACTGTCTCTCTCTCTTTCACGAAGATAAACATTAAAAAAATTTTTAATGCTTACAATGGAAAAGTATTTTGTTTATTTTATCACCCTAAAATATGTAAAAAATAATCTTTAAAACCCCATAATATGGACCCCCTCAAAAAGCCTAAAGAGGATCATTGTGATATTGCCTATCAGACAGAAAGAACATCTAAGGTAAAGTAGGCAGATACTAAGCAATACGTGAAGACCACAAGGGGAAAGAGGCTTTTATTAAATTTATTAGGATCCCTTTAAGCCATCTGTGCGCTGTGTGACCCTCCTGTGAACAGCAGCTGTTTTTATTCATCAGGAATGAGCAGATAGAGAAGTCATTACTCAATGTTCATGTCGCAGCTGGGTTTGAATTGAAAGGCAGTTCATATCCAACAACTTTGGCACCAACCATTTAAAGGTCCTTGTGTGAGAAGGTTGTATTGAGACGTGGAAATTATTTCATCGAGTAGTAGATTCAGCTGAACCTCAGAGCTATCTAGGAGGGCAAGCCTCCATAGGTAGATGATTACAGCAATGCACGTATTTGATTTTGCTCTGGGGTCCTGAATTTGTGGGTCTGTGTATACCCAGGAATTTTTATCAATTTCAGTGGAATATGGCATCGTCGTGGGGAAGTGGCTTATTTCCTCTAAGTACCCATGCCTCTTAGGCATTCATGGGAAATAAAAATCAAATTGAAGCTAAAACTTTAAATGTCATTTTAACAGAAGACTTTGATTTTACAGCAAGCATCTCCTTTCTTGGGCTCTGTTCACAAACGTACTGGTCAGGGTCACTTTGCTATGTTGTGGTAACAAATTAACCCTGGAATCTCAGTGGCTCAACACTCTAAAGGTTTATTTCTTGCTCACGAACATTCTATTGTACATCAGGAGCCTCCCCAGGGCTCCAGAGGACTCCCTCAAGGTACTGTGATGACCTAGCCCTCTAAACTACTTCATTCTTGCTCAGTGACTATCTCAACCCATGGATTCCAGGTGGTCAAAGCAGGGGAAGAAAACAAAGGATCACATGCCAGTTTTTAAATGCCTTGGCCCAAAGTGCCCCATAGCCATTGGTTAGAAGTAGTCACACAGCATTGGCTACCCACCAGAGGGCTGGGAAGTGTGAGGGACATTTGCTGAGCAATCAGTGTCTGTGCACAGTCAAGATGTGTGCTAGAACACATCCGAATCCTGGTCATTTGAGCCACATTGCTCGCTGAGGGCAATGGGCATTTCTTTCATATATATTCCTTAGGTTTTTAAAATTTTTTTCAGTGTTTATTTTTGAGAGAAAGAGTGTGAGCAGGGGAGGGGCAAAGAGAGAGGCAGACACAGAATCCTCAGCAGGCTCCAGGCTCTGAGCTGTCAGCACAGCACCTAGGAGCCCCCCTTTCACGTATTTTAAATACTATATCATATCACCATTAGTCAATAATAGGCCCAGAAGACAGAGGCCGGAGAAAAGTAGAGAAGGCATTGCTATGGGAATTAAAATGAGAAAGGGTGCAGTCAGTTACTACCCAGACAAAACAATATCTGGTCCCTGCTCTGCCTGACGTCTGGGGACAGTCACTTAGTCCCCTGAGCATCCTGAAGATCAGGTGGCCAGTGGGACTGGCCTGGTCCACGAGCAGGGGACCGGGTTACAGTTTATGTGAGGAGCATTGGGGTCTCTGCAGGAGCCTAGTGCATCTTCCCGCTGGCTTTATGTTCCCCAATGCATTTCTCTTAGTCCTCTTTTCTTCTCTCCCCTCTATAGGAATGAAGGTTTTGGAGCGCTGCCCCACACAGCCCCTCAATCTTCCTGTTTGCTAGTGGGTGGGGCCATTGGAGCCTTAAAGGTGAAGTATATTTCTCCACTGTTTGTAGTTCTTGCAGAAATTTAGCTTACAGGCATGCGGCATGCATCCTTTAATTGTTTGCTACCCACAGGGGAGCCAGAACAATTCCCCTCCCTAAGCACAGGAAGATCCTGAAGTCTGCTTGCAGAGACATGGGCTTTTCCAGATGAGGAGTGTTCACCCAGAGCTGCGCATCTGTGCAGTAGCTTCGCTCCTGCCGCCCTGAGCGCAATGTGCTAATTTGTGGCTTAGGTCTGACCACAGTTGAAGCAGAGGAGTTACTGACTGCCAATTAATTCTACCTTTGAATTGGGCCAGCCTTATCTTGGCCTTTCTCTGCTTCTTTTTAGAAAGGTTCCTATGTAGGGCAATGGATTTTGCATCTGGTTCAAATGTATTCGATTTTAGCAGCTCTTATTTCTGTGATTCTCCTAGTTCTCGGTTGACCAGCAGAGAACCCATTAGCTGCAGTCATCAATCAGACGTCCACCTCGGGTGTTTCAGGGGAGGAGCGGCTCTCTGTGACTCCCAAGCTTCTGTCAGCATAGGGAGCTGATCTGCTCCTGGGTTGTACTGACATCCGTCTTAACAGGAAAAGTGACAGAAGAAAAAAATATCAAGGGTCCCAGAGGGTCTACAGATGTCAAAGTCCCTGGCCTTCAGAGATGTCCCACCTGTCCAAAGCACCTCAGGTCGAAAGTATCTTAGGTCCACCTCTGTTCATCAGTGACCCTCCCCAGCTGTCCAAGTGGCCCTCAAAGCTTCCTGTATCAAAGGCTAGAAAACACAAGCATCCATTTTTCCAAAATGATTGCAAAAGATGAAGCACAAAAGAAAACCACCAGGAACACCATATATAAAATTTCATTTGGACCCACTGTCTGATTTCTTTAACAGCATCTTTCTGGCGCTTGGGGTCTTCAAAAGTGCTGGCCGGTGACATTGGTCAGGGTATTGGTTAGGACATCAACCGAGTGTCCTGCTGTTCTCCTATGCAACCAGCAGTCACCAGCTCAAGTCAAGGGTACCATGTCTGATTTGAGGCATGTGTTTGGAGCCTTTTGTGTGTGAGGTTACCTCACCATTAAATGCCTTCATCTCCTAACAGCAGTCCGGGGGGCAGTGTTCTGGAATGTGCGATAGCACGTGATCCCCCACTGTGACAACATCCCCATGATATTTGCTGGAGCTCTGTTTAGCTCCAAGGAAACCCAGAGGCTCTCTGCTCTGTGTGGCTGCTTATCCCCTGTGGCCCCGTGGCATGAGGGGAAAGCCTTAATGGACTGAGCGCCATGGAGATGTTCAAAACAAGGGCCAAGTTTTCAGCAGTAATTACCTCTGCTCCGCCCTCTCTCACTCGGCTACCTCATCATCGGGCCATGAAGTGAAACTTTCTTGTGGAGATGTTACCGTCCATGGGGTCTGTTCCTCTTAACAACGGCAAACTTTTCCTTTATGAAATCCGGCCCAGAACCCAGAGGTAATTTATTTTAATGAACAAACTAGGGCTCTGATAAACAGCACTGATTCTTTTTTCCTGGCAATCTAAAACTGTTTGAAGCCAAATTAAATTTTTGTTCTCATCATAGCAAGGTAATACGCAGCGAGTCCATAACCGTTAGAGCAAGAGCAAACAGATTTATAGAATCCCCAGACGGAGAAGTTTGCTGGTGATGCCAGTGCTTTGTCTTTAACCCTCTCAGAACACCGCACTGCGATGCCCAGCCTCCTTTCTAAAACACATCAGGTGGCGCCACAGTATTGCATTTTATTGAAGAGAAAGCAGAGTATCGGTGAGTGGACATTCCCCAGGGTCACCAGAAAGAACTGTGAGTCATGACCCGCTGGAAGATCATGACATGAATTTAGTAGGTTGTAACCATTAAAAAAAAAAGTGGAATAGAGGGATGCTTGAGTGGCTCAGTTGGTTAAGCATCTGACTCTTGATTTTGGCTCTGGTCATGATCTCACAGTTCGTAGGACTGAGCCCCACGTCGGGCTCTGTGCTGACAGTGCAAAGCCTGCATGGGATTCTCTCTCTTCCTCTCTGTGCCCCTACCCCCCCCCAATTAAACGTAAAAAAATACAATAGAAAATATTAGAGTGCCCAGTAAGCATTGTGTGGTACACACGTACACATGTGTGTTTGGGTATACTGGCCATGTAATTTAATCCAAACTGGGACACTTTTGCGAGTACACAGGGGTTCTAATAATCATGCCAGGAAAACACCATAAACCAGGACTTCTCTGAGCCAACAAGCACACATGGTCCCCCAATTACTAGGTTGTGATGCCAAATGTATTTGTTACTGAGGGCCGTGTTCAAAAGAAAGTTTCAGAAACACTGATTTAGTGGCCATTTGTCTACCTAATGCTCCACCTCATCTCCCAATATCCCACGGCTCGGTGATAGTCTCTACCATCCAGTGAGTGCTTACAGTGCGCCAGGTGCGGTCCTAAGGGCTTTGCTCCATTTTGAACTTAGTCCTCACAAAACCCCTCTGAGGCAGGCACTTGTCTCAGAAAGGAGTTTTGAATACGAGGAACAAAAAATCAGGAGGAAAGACACCACGGCATCCGGAACCGACCAGGCCCGTGAAGTGGCCCGGAGGTCGCGGTTAATCTGCTGGGGTCCGCCCTTCACGAGGCAGGGGGCCTATTGCGGGGCCCTCTAGCACCAGGACCAGGTGCCGGTGTCACAAAGTCACGTGTGGTGGAAGTGTGCTGGGACAGTCGAAGGCAAGTGTGTCCACCTGGCTTAACAGTCATAATGGCAGAGCGCAGTGACTGGGCAGGCACAGTGAGCCGGGGTGAGAAGACAGGGGGGCCACAGGGCAGCGCAAAGGGCACCCCTGAGGCACGAAGCATGTGTTGTGGCTGAGGAAAGTCGTGAGCAAGAGGGCAGGTGGACCAAACACAGCCAGACCCCGTCTCTTCCTTCTAGTGGGGAAAGAATCACCGCGGGTGCAGCCAGCATGGTAGCTGCTGATTGGTTTTGCCAGGCGAGGAGCAGGGAGGCTCTCGGGTTTCTTGTTCGGACGGCGTCACCCAAATGAGAGTTACATCTTCGACATTCTGAGCCGAGGGCCCGAGGACCGTCGGTGGAGCCTCACACGTGTCTGCAGTCTGCAGGAAAGTTCTGGAAGGGAGCCGCAGACGAGGGCGCCATCAGCCTCTCAGTGGGTGAAGGCAGGGTCTGGGCCACATTTGTGAGGGTCACCAAGGAGGGAAGCTACTGAAAGAGGCCGAGAGACAGAACGGCTTGGTGGAAAGGAAGCCAGCTTTGGCTGAAGACAGACCTGGTGCTTGGATCTTCCGCTTTTTATACGCGTGAACTTGGCCCAAATCCCAACTGTCCTGGTCCTCAACTCCTTTGTTTCTAAAGGGAGGAAAGTCATGTGCATTACATAGGTTGCTTTAAATAAGACAACCTGCCTAAAAATGAAAGCACTTAGTATCTGTCTTAGCTCAGGCGGCCATGACAAGATGCCACAGACACTTTGCAGGGGGAGGGAGGAGGGCACCTTCAGCTGATGACCATACGCAGGTTAGTGGTCATGGGAGGAGGGGGGAGCAGGTCACTGGAGCCAGGAAGGCCAGGGGGTGTCTGTCCTCAAGGATGATGAAGCAAACCAGAGCAGCAGTGAAACTCTCGGCGCGGAGATAGATTCCGGTCAAATAATCCCTTGTCCAAAGCGGCTCACACATCGAAATGGAAAATGCCACCAAGGATGCTGACTAAGGACTGACGCCTTCATTCTCGCCAGTTCTAATTCTTCAAGATTAAATTTCACTCCTTGGCGGCATTTCTAACTCTAGTGTGGGCACTTTGCATGTTAAATCTCTCTCTCTTGCTGTTTCTCTCCTACCTTCTATTCCCTCTCCGCCCCTTGCTTTGCCATCCTGCCCTCTACCCCCGGCGGACCCCCACCCCCGCCTACCAAAACCCAGGTGTCCCTCCCACCATAGGACTCCACCAGGATGAGGCGGCTTGTGGCCAAGGCCATGGCGACTGATGATGAGGACGGTGATGCATATCGTTGGAGGCTGACCGAGGGTCGGTGTTATACCCACCTCAGCCTCAGCGCCTCTGTCTCTGGTACATTCTGGGGACTTGCCAGGGCTCCTCTGTTCACCTGCCTGATTTTATCCCCCCTTTCCGGCAGCCTCTGTGTGCAGTACTGTGACAAAACCCTGGACCTCTTCACAGACGGGGTCCTGGTGCTCAGCCACACCGCGCCAGGCCTGCCCATCCTGGGCAGCGGTCGCAACTCCGTGGGGTCCACGTGGAGATTCGTTGCCGACGAAGACTGAGAGTCACCCGCTCCGGCACACGCGGGCCCATAGACACGCACGCGCAAATCCACACACAAGCATACACGCGCGTATATGCAAATACACACACAGACCCACTGACGCATGCGTGCACAATTGCAAGAAGAGGGTGTGCTGTAAAGGCAGTAAGACTTTGCTACAGGCAGTGAAGAAACCACCAACATGCACCGCGTAGTCTAGGCAGACTAAAGAGGCAAAGAATGGGAGACTCGAATCACACGCAGTTCCCAGGACCGTCACAAGAGCAAGGTTTGCTCTGTTACTGTTGTTACAGCTGTGCTGTCATTCAGCCACGGACAACCTGAAGTTGTAGGAAGGTAGATCTTTCAACAAGACCTATCTTAGCTTCACTCTGGTGGCTTTGCTATGAAAAAGAGAAAGGTGCTCTTGTTTAATGACTTCAGGTATCTTGGGAAAGTGAACGAGCCCTCTTTCCCAGCCCCGAATCGGATGGGTTTGATTGGACAGGCAAGGGCATCCCAAGGACAGCTATAAAGGCTGCTAAAATCGAGGGATCAGTCCCCTGGGGCTTCGATCTGGCCCGTGAGCCTGGCATCACAGGGGACAGTGTGCCCTCCCCGTGTGCCTTGGGTAGCGCCACTGCAAATTCTTTGCTTGGCCCGAGTCTGCTGCTTTCCCCGGCTAGCTGTGTACGCCTCTGTGACTTGCTGATGGCACAAACCGGTTTCGTGTAGGGTTTGGCCAGGTTGAATGTGGTGTCGTTAATGTAGGTGTTTTTTTTGGTCTCTGAGTTTAAATACTCGATGGGACGGGGGGGGGGCGGGGGGAGCACCGATGCTTCAGAATCTTGGATGAAGACTCTGCCGTGCGTATTTCAGCGGCACCTTCATAATGGTGCTTCTATGGCAGCCACGTGCACAGCCTCTGTATGTTTACATGGTGCTAAGCTACAAGATTGCTCTTGTGCCAGGGGTGGGGACGGGATGTTTTATAATAAAACCAACCCCAAAATGGCCATCAGTGTGGGCTCAAACCAAAAGTCTCACTCCTCTCCATGCTTTCAGAGAAAAGGACCTCGGAGCTCACGTTATGTTTGGGCATCTGTCACCTACTGTTACATTTGGTCCAGGTTCCTCCCAGGTAGAAAGAAGGTGCTGGAAGCGCCCTCTGCTGGGCAAAGGGCAGAAGCCCTTACTTTGCCCGTACCCCTGTGGGACTTTGCTGTTTTCATTTTTGCCTGAGCCTTGGAAGATCAGACGGTGTACAACTGGAAGTTCCTGCCATCATCTGGGATGCCCGAAGTCACTCTCATTGTGCCCCACATCACCTTCTCCATGCTGGGGACTCAGACCCTAGAGCAGGCAGGGTGTTCCATGGGCACCCCCATCCACCTTAGGGGTGGATGACTTCCTTAGGTGATGACTCACCAGTCACTCGCAGTCGCTTAGCTACTGTTTGGACACAAATGAAAGCCAACAGAACCCAGCTCAGTCCAGGCCACACATCATCCAGTACACTTCACATCTCTGATACTAACTCCTGAGCAGGACTTGAAAAGAATGCCCCAAAAAGGAAGCCAAGCCTATACAGTTAGGCGAAGCCAGACTCTGTGCTTATGGAGGAGAATGGCCGGGCACCCCTCCGCAGAGACAGGATCCCCAAGTGCACAGGGACCACACCACCGGCTCAGGCACGCCAGAGCCTAGGATGACAAACAGACTTGTTCTTTCCTGCTAGCTCCCGTCATGGCTGCACATTGTGTTGGGAATGACCCTGAGGCTCTATTGAGACTCAACAAGTGTGAGGGGACTGAGGAGCCTTGTCCATCTGGGGCATGGGGGGGGAGGGGTGACAGCCATGCTATGATGGGCAGCTCCATGCATACAGTCCCATGGGGGTGATCCCAGGGTTCTGGGGACCCAGAAAATGGGGGTTCCTCACTCACATCTCAGCACTGGCCTCACCTCATAGTGATGTGTTGTGCCCTTGTGAGTGACTCACAGGAGTCTGGCCGTGGACAGGCCATGACAGGGCTCCTTGTCACTGACTTCTCTTCCTCTGTGGGCATGGAGGATCTGAGCCCATGCACCCACACGCCTGCCACACACACGCTTCTGAGATTTTGTTGCTGGGGCCTGGGCAAAGGTGGAAGGAGCTTGCCAAAAAATCATTCTAAAAATCATAAGCTGGCTGTTAGACTGCCGATCTTGGCTAGTGCTCTGGGTGCACCGATCGCCAGGTCCTCAGTGCTTGAGATTCCCAGGTTCTGATAGGGCGTGACTATCCCCAGAGTGTCACAGGATCTCTGTGCTGGTGTACATGATGACTTACCAAATTTGCTTGAGAAAGTGGCAAACTATCCCTGTTCTCCGAAATGGCTTGGGAGAAGAGTTTATTTCCTCCTTTCATTCTGTTCTCTATATCTGTATCTTGTTTCACAACAGATGTGGAGGGTCTTTGAATGCTGTATTTGAAGGGCACCTGAGGGGCTCAGTTGGTTAAGCATCTGACTTCAGCTCAGGTCATGATCTCGCAGTCTGTGAGTTCGAGCCCCACGTCAGGCTCTGTGCTGACAGCTCAGAGCCTAGAGCCGGTTTCCGATTCTTTGTCTCTCTCTCTCTCTGCCCCTCCCCCACTCGCAGACTGTCTCTTCTTTCTCAAAAATAAATAAACATGAAAAAATAAAAAAATAAATGCTGTATTTGAGGCAATAAAATTAAAGGAAAATATATAGTCACAAATCAAACTATAGGAGGGGTGCCTGAGTGGCTCAGTCAGTTAAGCTTCCAACTTTAGCCTGGGTCATAATCTCACAGTTCATGAGTTTGAGCCCCACATCCGGCTCTCTGCTGTCAGCACAGAGCCACTTCAGATCCTCTGTCCCCCTCTCTTTCTGTCCTTCCCCCACTTGCTCAATCTCTGTCTCAAAAACAAACATTAAAAAAATATAACTATAGGAAAAACTAAGATGGTTAGAAAGCAGACGTTTTCAACCTCTTTTTCCCCTTACACCAACGCACTAGAGTCTCACCCCAGAGGGGTTGGTGAGGAAGTGTGGAGGGTCTTGTAGGTCCTCCAACCCCCTTTGCAAAGGAGAATATTGGTCATAGGCCCTCGATAATTACTAAAACCTGGACTACATTTTTGGCTTTGAGTTTCCTTGCCACCAAAGAGGTAAGGAAAACGTGATCATCAGCTACAAACTGCACATTTTCTGTGGAGTAAAAAAATATGCGCCCTCAGGAGAAAACACAGGTCAAGTCTGAAAGACCGTATTCACATGCGTCCGTTCGTAGAGGGAACATGGCGGGATTCAGTGGGTGACTTCTTCAGCATACTATACAAAGACACTAGCAGTCTTTGAACTATAATTTATTATGGCCTCCCTCAACGGAGGGTGAAGTGGTTACGATGAGGCACATTTCAGAAAAGAAGTTCTAGGCCAGGGCAAATGATGACAGTTCTCTGAAGGTCTGGCTTCACCCAGAGAGAATTTTCAGAGGGTCTAGGAAGTGATCAGCTGCATGTCCTTGATGTGATTCCCTGTTAGGATTATTTCCCTCATCTGGGCTTTTTGGTGGAAGATGAGCATGGGAAGTGCGGAGTTCCTATCCAGAGCCTCGGAGCGTAGACATTCCACACTGATGCTAAGTGGATGGCAGAATGAAAGTACCTAGCCAAGAGTGACCCAAAAGCCAGCCTTCCCTTCTTCGCAGGAATGGTCGTCTGGGGAAATTAACATAACATCTGAACTTGAAAGTGCTAAAAAAAAAAGGGGTGGGAGGGGGACCATTTCATTGGAGCCAATCACGCAAGTGGTTCACAGAGGCCACAGAGATTCATTAGAACCACCCAAGGGTTTGTTTAAAATGCAGAAGCATGGTCCCCAGGGATTCTGATTCTGTGGGTCAGGGGACCACATGTGTGCATTCAGGCCACGCAGGAGTCGTGGACTGCCCCAGAACTGTTTCATCGTGGTTGTGAGCATGAGGGCACTATGGTGCTGGCCTAGGATTTCGCGTTATTTCCATCTGTCTCAGCACAAGAAGAGGGAAAGTGGTCAATAACTTCCATTCGTGTATAAATGAATTTTGTGCTTCATTTCCTTGTGGGCGTTTTTCATTGTTGATGACATAGACCTGGTACGGTTGCTCCTTGGTGCTTTCCCTGAGTTCCCTGGGGGAGATAATCCTACAGGCCTTGGGACGCTTCTCTCCTCCAGTGGGATTACCATGGGTACGGACTGTACACAGGAGCCAACAACTGTCAAGGGCCTGTTCAAGGCACATTTTGCTCCATATAACTCATAATCCTCAAGTGGGCAAACGAGTTCATAGTGGATTCTAGAAAAATGAACTCATAAAAAATCCTTATTGATTCTAGTGGTAATTTCTGTTTTTATGAGTAGGGAACTAAGAAGAAAGCAAATCTCTCTTTTTCAGAGATCGGATTTCAATAGTTCACTTTTGAGGTCAGCCTGCTACTGCCGCTGCCTACTTAGGAGACAGCCTCTTGCTATCGCCTGCAGACGTGAAATAGCTGGTGGGTATTTCTCACATGCATCTTCTCTTGTTTTCTCTGGAACACTACCTTTGTTAGATCAGTTAGCTTTTAAACTTTGTTACTGCGTTGCATGGAAGTAAAGTTTCAAAGGCGAAGAAAAGACAACCCACACTTCCTGCGTGCTGGTACTGCACCAGGTGAGGTGGTAAGGCTTTGCACATAATGCCAGTTCTAATAAGGGCACTCACGTCTCGTGACTCAGAATGTCTCTGGTCTGATTGCCTCCTATTCACCCCCATTGGTGAGAGAGGGGTCTCTTGCCCTAAATGCCAGGAGATGGTGGAGCCCACAACAGTTGATTGCTGGACGGAGGAGAACAATGGTGGTTAACAGGTCCCAGGTATGCACAGCCCAGGGGTAGGATGCAGCACGCTGTGCAGGGCCATGTGGAGGCTGCACAGAAGAATGGACTGAACAAGCAGAGCTCTCAGGGGTCACGCTCTGTAGTAATGAGG